GTTTCATAGGTAAAATTTCGAGTTAATGGCGATTTTTTAAAAAGACGTGATTTTCACGTTACACCTGATCCTTCAATATAATTGGCTAGAATCACGTGCCGGAAAAAATCTTGTGGGTGAGCTACAGAGGTTCTAGTCACGGTACAGGATCAGGTGTAACTCAAAATTTTGCTTAAAGCTTGGCTGGCTAAGCCAGTCGACTAAGAACAATGTGGTTAAATACTTGACAAAAAAAAACTGAACAAATGTTACTTTATTAAATACACTGTCGATCTGCGGTTTATCATCACAAGGTTACGTTGGGGTTGGTCAACTAATTAAAACCTTATGTAGCCAATTTTAATACGAATGTATTGTTATACAAATGAATATCTCAATAGGAATTTATTATACGTACGGAAATGATGGATTTTGAAATCTAAATCCTCTCGTAGTTATTAATTCTTTGAACTTAAGAATAACATAAAACAGATTAAAAAAGTAAACTTTTTAATTTGTCGTAAGAATTTTTCTTTTTGCATTTAAAAATTTTATAAACTTTAGATTATATAAATCTTTATAAAATATTAAAATTTATAAAATTTTGAAATTTTAAATGCAAAAAGAAAAATCTTCACGACAAATTAAAAAGCATGCTTTTTTAATCTATTTTATGTTATTCTTAGGTTCAAAGAATTAATACCACAAGTGGATTTAGATTTCAAAAATCCATCACTTTTGTATAATAAATTCTTATTGAAAAGTTATATTCATTCGTGTAACAATACATTCGCATTAAAAATTGGCTTAATTATTAATTATGGGTCAACATATAGGTTTGATTAATTGGTTGACCAACCACCCAAAAGGTTACGTTTTTTATCAGCGCAATTTATAATCATGATCGGCGGATAAATAATTATTTTGTTCACTCACATATAAAATTATCTTTAGACTTGAATAATACTATATATATATATAACAAATAGTAATTTTTGGATTATGAAATTATATTATTTTGGATATTCACAAAAGAATTTGATATTGAAATTCAGTGTTGGAATTGGTATCAAATTTGTCAAAAGTTAAAGCGCAACCACTGAAATCCATTTTATATAATCCTGATATAAAAAAAAAAGTATTAACATATTTAGTTGAATAAAACTATTAATGTTTAAGTCCTATTAATAATTAGAAAGTAAACCTTAATAAAATAAATAAATTTACCTTTAGCTTTACCACGGAATTTAATGTTTGGCCTGATAAAAAGATTGATTTATATACCTCACGGAACAATTGTGATCATTCACATTAAGATATTAATCTAGTGATCAAAATAACTGATCACGCCTTTAAGTAGGCACCATACGTAAGTCTTCCAAATTTCTCTTGTCGTTAAGTATTATATGTACTCGTTCAATGTGAGTTCTCGAGTATAAGACTAGATCACCATCCACTTCGATTGAATTTTTTTACGGGTGTAGATCTAAGCCACAATTATCTTAGACAATTTCACACTATGTGGCTAAGCCACGCCACTAATACTTAGAATTATCGCCAAAATTACGGATTGCAAGATGTAAAGATCCTTTCTATTTATCTATGGGAACTTCAAAATGAATATTATCTATCGATTTTTTTAAAATGATAACTAAAAGAAAATTGAATTTTTTAACTTGTTAAAAGTTTCAAATTTTAGTGTCTTCTAAAATTGCACTGCATTTAACAAACTATCTCATTTCTTAAAAACGGACATACCACATACACTAATCTAAAATACAAATTTGCTAAACTTCCAATTCTATGGAAAAATCACATAATTTAATCAAAGTGATAAAAGGGTAATTGTGAAAATATTTCAGACCTTAATTCTTGATACGCCGTATATTTGGATTTATTTTCAAATGCAGCCTTCCACCCATCGGTTTTTTTAACCTCTCCAAAATTTTCAATTATAAAATCCATCATGACTTTTTTCAAATCTGGATATTTGAATGCGTTCCCAAAATACATGTCTGCAACATTATCATAGCTCATTATTAAAAGTAATTCAGATTTAGCTCGATTTAAAAGATCAGTGATAAGGTATTTATCTGCTACACTGTAAATATCCCATAAGTCCTCCAAACTGTTGTATACAAAGCTATCGGAGTAAAGGAACTGAAGCATTTTAAAAAACGTTTCATATTTAAAATCAATTATCTCAATTTTGTAACGATACCATGACTCTTTTTTCTTACTGATGCTGCACTTATCGTCAAGGTTTGAGGTGAGATCGTTAATTGAATTATTAATCAAATTCTTAGTTCGAAAACATTCAGACCAAGTACCCGAAAACATTCTTCGAAAATATTCCGATCTTTTAGAAAGAATGCAACTTTTTGCAACAATAGATCGACCTTGAATTGTAAACTTGACATCATTTTGTGATGAACTGTTCAGTTCATTAGCCCAAGCGGATATCAATTCCTGTGGAATTTGTTTAGCTGGGAATGGAGTATTAAAACGTATAATACCGAGTTGTATTTTCTGAAATTTGACACCAAAAATAATCTTGTCTGTGATATGTGATTTTTTACAGAACCTATTTATATCTATAAAAAAATTCTCATAAATTTTTGAAATTTTGCATTGAAAAACTCTTCTATTAATATATCATGTATTATTTTAAAACAACTCACACAGCCGGCAAGCAACAATATGATCAAGTTTAAATGGACCAGTATCGTCTATCCTAAGAACCCACCCGGTAATAGTTTTCAAATATATTTCGGCAGGTAAGCAATGGTTTCGGACAGGATCGAAGTAATCAACTTCATTTGAATTACGTAAAGCTAAAAGCGCCACATCGCAATATTCTGGATCTGTTGAAGAAGTCTGAAAAAAATCATTTAAAATATTTTGAATTATTATCCATTTAAGTAGCTTTTATTTTATCTGAACTTACAGGCTCAAATCTTAATTGCCAGAAGATATCAGGCAGTGTTTCGAATCGAGGTGTGTATACAACTCCTTTAAGGTTCTTTATATTATCCAACTCAAACTCAAAACAAGCCATTTAAAAAAAATGATGACTGAAAGTTACGTACCCCACAATTTTCACAACTTTTACAATAGCATTTTGTTTATATATGCAGTCATCAGCCTGTGGCCGGATGTTTGTTTCAGAGGATCAACCTGATAATTGAAAAGGTTGTACAAATACGTATATACTGATAAGTCAGCTGATGCGTTCTGATTACGTAAAGGTAACATTATTTTTTTTTTGGTTTAGTTGACATCAAATGAATCTTAATCTAAATATATAAAAACTTTTAATTGGTAAACAAGTTGCTTATTATCGTTTTTAAATTTATAATCTTGATATGTATGAGTGCTGCAAAAAAACCTGTAATTTCGGTTTTTGCCGGCTCTGCTTTTCAACAGTGATGATAAATTCTATAATAAGTACTATTTAATGAAACATGTGTCTGATAAGTCCGTTTGATTTCGGAAAACTCACAATTATAGCGCATAGCGATAGGTTAAAACACTAATCAATAAAATCAAAATAGATTATGTTATCACTGGAGATAAGATTAATACGTAAGCCATTTTGGCTAAATTACTTTGATAACCATAATCAGATATGCTAAGCCTTCCAGCCACCGGGATTCGAGGTCACATATCAATACGGAATACTTTTATGTAGTGTTATAGATTTTTAATATTCAAGGTTTTTGTTTGCAATGTTCAATGTCCAAGTCTAATAACGTCCAAGCATTCATAAAGCTTAGACAATTATAAAAAGATACAATGATTATTAGGTAAAATTAGGTATTTAATATTTTTCGCAATGAATTAAATTAGATTTGTCATAATATGATTTTAATTATCAATATTTCTTTTTTGGTATAACATGTTTAGACTTTTGCTCAAACATGTTTATTGACAGATGTCAAATGAACATTGGTTTCCAAATCTAAAATTTTTGCTCGAAACAAATAAAATTTCTTTTTCTTTTTTAATCAAATTAAAATAAGGGTTGTGCCAGTAGCCAGAGTGGTTTATATCAAAAAATTCACCAAGTAGCCAGTTCGAGGGTACTAAGTAAAAATGTCTAGGACCCCCGAAACCTTATGCAAACTAAAATTTGGACCGTTTAATCCAACCTATATTATGCTCTATAAACCTACTATTTTATTCTATAACCATATTCAACCTCTAAATTGTAATAGAAAGTTATTATGCTTATTAATAACCATCGGCATAAGGTATAATAATTTATAAAATAAGGCCATGTAAAATTAATTAATTGGTTTTCATAACACAGCTGGGTCAAGTTTTGAAAACTTGTAGAAAATTTTTTTTATGTTTTAATGACCGGGTGGGTTTTAAAAAAAAATATATATTTTAAAAAATTTTTATAAATTTATATATATGAAATTAATAAAAAAAAGCCGGCCGGCCGAGTCTGTTCTGTTTAAAAGTTTCATGTTATGAAAATCAATATATTAAATTTGTGTGGCCTAATACTAAATTTTAATATATTAATTTTTTAGGAATTCAAAACAATAAACATATTTAAGGTTATACAAACTTAATAAATTGGTTTCATAATTTAGTCAGGTTAAGTTTTTTTTAAACACTTTTACTTAAACACACTTATAGTGTTTTACTCTCTATGTTGTATTATTCAAAAACCTGCCAATTAATTAGTATTGTCAATTTCTGCTATAGTTACATTGTTTGACAAAAATTTAATATAACTATAGTAAGAAATATATAATAATAATTATTATAGTAAGAGTTAATTTTATTTTAATTTTTTTTTTATTAAGGTGATCTTTTTGGTCTTTTGATTTTTTATTAATGACTTTTTTGGTAATGTGATTCTATGAACTATTACAGAAGAGCATACAATTAGCTATATATGTAACTTTTCTATATTACCTATTTAAGGAGTCCACTCAAAGGTTTCTTAATAATTGTTGTACCTAACACTTCTGCTTGGATGTTTTACTTTAAACTTTTTGAACCTACAATCTGTATAAATATCACTAGGTTATTCTAGATATTCAGATCATCATCTCAATCTTAGAACTATTTTATCCTTAAAATAAACTTTCTAGAGCCTTCTGTAGTTATTTTTACAGTTAACTTAAGTATTATTATAACAAAACTAACACTTACAGTTAAGGTTTAATTATTAAACTGCAGTGTTTTTATAGAATTCACATAGATTACAGTATCTACTTTACAGTAGAGGCCTGTATTGAGTCTTACAGTTCAGCTTGATCTACAAATTTTTGCAAACTAGGTCAGATTAGAAAAAAAAATTTAATCTTAAATGCAGATTGGATCAGGTCTTAAAAATAGGCAATTTGTAGACATCTACTTTATAATATAATCTTAGTACTTTAATATATCTTTGTTTTTTCATCTGTCTTTTTATTAGACTTCTAATTCAGATAGTCTATATAGGATTATGTCTAATTTATTAGTATATTAGATTGGTTCAATATCTTTTTTTTGGTTTATTCTAGTGATCTAGTTAGTAATACCTTTAAGTCTTCTCTAATTTAGAGATTCTTGTCTGTTTAGATATTATAACTGGGTATTATAATCTTGGTATCTGTTTTTTTAGACTAGTCTTTACAGTATCACTATCAAATATCTGATTATTTTTCTACTCAGGTCTTTTTAAATAAATTTCTTGTTATCTAATTTCAATAGATTTACATAAACACAAAGACTTATCTAGTGTTTGTACTATCTAATTTGTTAGTTTGCAATTTTCTATATAATATCATACTTATACAGATACTTCATAACCTGTTAGTTATACTAGTATGATTATTATTACAGATATCTTAATCTAATTATTAGTAATAGTTATTATAATACAAATATTATATAAGTAATTATTCAAATTTTCACTATTAATAAGATTTGAACACCTAATCTACCACTTGAAGGGTTGACAATCTAATTATTTTACTAGATTATTATATCTCTAAGATTTAAATTTTTTTTTTTTTTTTTAAATATTAAGATGAGTACTTGTGACCTAGGATTTTATTGATAGTATATTTGGCTAATGATTGCTTTACAACCATAGGGAGCAATCATAAAGAGAGTATACAACTAGCTACTCATACAACTTTAGTCATTTTCTAATTTAAGTAGTTCATCTGAAGGTTCTACACTAGCTGTCATATCTGGAACCCACTTGTAGATTCCCTATTTAACCACTCTGTTTTTGTATCCACCCACTTACCTCTGCCTACCAATGACTTTGGCCAATGCTGGTGAAAATATGCCATGACTACTAAGTCTTTAAAGCAGTTCTTTGGAACCTTTGAACTTGTACTAAACTTCCAGAATCTTCTGTATCCCATTCTTATAGCTAACCTGGTATTGCTATGGCTGAGACCAATACTGACGATCAGGGCATACTATTAAACTGCTATGCCTTTGTAGAGTTCACCTCAATCTCGGTACTTACTTCACAACATATTTTTACTACTTTGGTATTCAATTTAAGTTCCATCAAGCTGCCATTCCAGATAGGCTAGAAAGGTAAAGCAAGACTGTACCTCTGATTTACATGTTTGCCAGCATGTATCCTTTTTCTCTGAAACCCAGAAATTTCAGTAGCCTGGTTGGTTCATCCGGTCTCTTCTCAAAGACCAGCACATTTGCCCAGTTTCACAAGTTCTAGCTCCATTTCATAAGTCTAGTTTTTACAGTAGCATCATCAAAAGCTTGGGTTACTTCTCTACTCAGATCTTCCAAGTGGACTTCTATCTTTCTTCTATTAGTTTCTATGATTTACATGGTCACAAAAACTTATTGTAGGTTTGCATCGCCTGGTACTAGTTTGTATTTCTTCATATAACTACAGACCTTGTCCCAAAGAACAATGTTATATGACTGTTACACAACTGCCATGTGACCTGCCAGTCATGCTGGTATGATATAGATTACAGGTGTCTTATCCCAACTAATTGCGAGAGACAGTTAACCGTAATACAAGAAGGATTTTTAAATTTTCTGTCAACACTGTAATTTGAACTCTGAACCTGCTACTTAGGGGTTAACAACCTAACCACTTCACTAGGTCACCACACCCCTCTAAGATTTAATTTTATAATAACTATATATATATATATATAAAAAATAAATTTAAACAACTATAAGTATAATTAGTATTTAAAATTCAAAATAAAAGTTATTGTATAATTAAATAAATATATATATATATATTTTTTTAAAAGTATAGCAATTTAGTAAAATGGATAAGTTGTTAACTCCTTAAGTAGTAAGTAGTAAGTTTAAAATCTACTAATGATAAAAATTTAAATAATCACTTATATAATATATAGACAGTATTATGTTAATAACATTCTGTCAATCAGTTAAGATAATATATATATAACTACAGTTGCATTAGCATAACTAGCAGATTATAAAGCATCTGTACAATGTTGAAGTTATACAGAGAAATGCAAACTAATATCAGAATAATGTAAACCCAAAATAAGTTCTTGTGATTGTGTAAATCTATAGAATTGAAAAGTCAAAGCCTATTTGTAAAGACTCAAATAAAAAGATAGCACGGATTTTTAACAGTACTACTATAAAGGCTAGATCTAGAAAACAAATATTAATATAAAAGAAATCAGGCAGACAAGAACCTTAGGTGAGAGATACTACTAACCAGACTGCTAAATTTTTAAACCAAAAAAAAAGACCTTGAAGACAGACTCTAGAATATTAGAAACAGGTTATAGTCTTTTGAACTATTTGAATTAGAAGTTTAAAATTGAAAACAAAGGTATATTATAAGTATTAGAAATATGCTATAAAGTTAGTACTAAGGTCTAAGTGAACTTTGCAAGAATAAGTTCTGTTAACAAAGATTAAATATGGGTAGTTAGTTAGCAAAGAGATCCTCTAAAGCCTTATAATTAGATAATATATTCTGAAATATGTAATAACTTAATAGATGTACAAAAAGAAAAATCAAAGTTAAGTTAGACAGCACTTAGATGTACTAGAACTTGTGCACTATTT